ATTACTTAATTAGTTAATTATATTTATGAATTGGATGTTTATAAACATTTTTTTTTCCATAAAAAACTTGTTTTGATAGATTTAAAATGCTTTAATAATATCCATTAAAAAAAAAAGTATTATGGTTCAATCATAAAATTAAATACTAAATGATATGAATTACAAATTATAAAATATTAGACGGGAAAGAAAAATAATAACAAAAATATTGATTGAAATAACTAATTAAAAAAAAAAAATACCATGATAATAAGACACGAACAATGTGAATCTGTGTAACTTGGAAAGTATTACACAAAACTTACAAAAAGAAAAATGCTTCTTTAATTCTATTGGAATACAAAGAATTCATATACAAAATATATTTAAAAAAAATGTTTGTTATTATGATTTAAAGGAAATAAATGTGAATATAAATAAAAATATATTTACCTGTCGAGTAGATAATAACTGTTGTTGTAAATAATTTATTTGAATATCCTTTTGGTCAGAAGTTTGTAAACTAGCTTTCATCATTCCGATTTCATTTTTATAAGCTTCCAGTTCACATTTGAGGTGGTCATTTTCATCCTACCAAAAAAAGTATACATCATATTATAATATTGGGAATGATAAATAATTTAAGTATGAATGATTTATAATAAAATTTAAATAACCTGTAGCTGTATAGGATCAGTTTTTGTTTTTGTCTTTTTCAAATTACTTTCATCGTCAGATAGATCCATTTCGTCCCCACCAATCATTTCATCTTCATCATCAATTCCCAATTTGGATAGAGCCTAAATATTTAAAATTATTAATTGAATCATAAATATATTAAATATGAAAAAAAAAATAAAAAAATTAATGGTTTGTATGTATATACTTTTGTTGTAGCAGGTACATTACAAATTTGTAGGTAAACATATATATTACGCGCGATCCCTAATTTCCACATCAATCATAAAAAACTCAAGGTAAACAAATAAAATATAACACCTACCTAAATTATTTGGTACAATACAAATTCCTTATTATACTCGTAAAATATTACAGCACACAGTTGACATTGACATGCAAATGAAAAATAGTTTTTATTTTATATTATCATGCATTAATATGAATAAAAACCATCAAAGTATGGTTAATACTGGTAATTGATTTCATAACTCAATCAAATAATAATGTAAATACTTGTAAATGTTAAGCAATAGCTATAATGTAAGCAACATGTTATGATAGTTAAGTGTTTGTCATGAATTGTGAACAAACAATCTTCACATTTTATTATAGATAGGCAGTATATATTTTAGGTAACTAAATTAGGCAAAAGCTATTTTATTTGTTTGTTGTCTGTTTTAGTTAGCAAAAACCTACCATTGCCTGCTTCTTCCATGTCTCAATGTTCTTTCGCTGCGCCTTTGTGAAATGATCCCAAACCTTCTTGTGCGACGCAGAAGTAAACACTTTCTCGATCTGGGTGACTTTATACAAGGACAATAACACAGGCGGTTAACATATTAAGAAAAAAAAAAAAAGAAAAAAAAGAAGTAAGGTGTTTATAAATCAGATAACTTTAGTTGTTTTTTTAGAAAATATATTACGCCATAGTATTGTGATTGAGATTTAGTTTGAGTATGAATATGTATATAGAAATGTTGATAATAAGTTATAACAGTTGATTATAGTTAAAAAAAATAATTACATACCTAATAATAATTTTAACAAATGTAAAAAGTATAGAAATTATTACTTTTTATTTGAACAATTTAGATTTTAATGTTTAAGAAAATTTACTTAAAAAGCAAAATAATTAATAAATAATAATTATTACCTAATTGTTGTATTAAAATTTAAAATATCTCATTTCTTTCTCTTTAAATTAATATTATATGAATGATGTTTATGTAATTAATAACTTGCGTGTCTTCTTAAAAAAGTCATCATCTGAATAGAAAATTATAAGAATTTTAGGGATAAAATTGGATTGTTTAACAAATAATTCCTTTTCTTATCACCATCAAAATACCTTAACATAATTAAAACCTTGATCCCATATCATACTTACCTTTAATAATTGGGAAGCATAATAATAGTTTCTGAAATATAAATAACATTTTCAAATAGTTTGGAAATAGACTACGAAAATGTAGTTCCAACTTCCAATGTTCACAAACCTTAATTCAATAACTATGGTTATTCTGTGTCTTAATTAAATCAATGTATTTATATTCATCATTACTTTAATACCATAGATGTACTAAATTTTATTCTTCAGTCATAAGCAATACAAACCTTGACAAATGCACAATATGAAATCATAGTAATTGTAATGTGAACTTGAATATTTTAAGCTGAACCAAATAAAAAAAAACCAAATACCTGAATCTAATTATTATAAAAAAAAGAAAATTATGAAACCTGTCATGCAACTAAAAATAGCACTTATTGTAATTATGTTTTGTTTTTTTAGCATGTTACAGGCTATGTTATTTACTTTTTCTTCTTAGTTTTGACTCTTGTCATCAGTCGTCATTCTAACAAGGTCAATGGTTAGAAGTTCTCTTATAACCCATATATCCTAGTAGATTATTGTAATAATTAGAGTAATATTATACTTACATTGTAATAAAATTGCTTGCATGCGGCGTTTAGTAAGGTCTTTCAGATTTTGTAGTTCTTCTTCAAATTGGTTTTTTTCTGACAGTAAACGCCGTACATGAGAATTGGTAGATTGAATTATCGAATAAAATATATTAACATTGCGTTTGTTACAATCTCCTCGTTCTAACCATGTAATTACTACTTGTACAGCATTTAAAAATGATGTATCAGCTATAAAATAATAAGTATAAGTATTAATAACTGTATTTAATAATAAAAATGTTAATCAACTATAAAATCTTATGAAGTAATTACCCTTAATTTCTTCACTAACGGATAAAGCTTTAGCTTCAGTGAAATGGGGTATTAATGGAGGAGATGGTGGAGGATTTGATCGAGTTTGTTGTAAACGCCTTTCTTCACGCATTAAATGTCTTTTTTTCATTTCCCATTCATACTGATCATCACGGGCTTGAGCATAATCTACATGTAAACGTGAAGCAGATACCAGCTCTTGTCCTTTCATCACTAATCGATATCCTAAGCATAATATGTAAATTGTCGTTAATTTAAATATTCATGAAATGTAGTATGTACCTATTATAATATATTATACAGTGAAAAATAATGAATATTTATTTTTGTTAAAGCCTAAAAACTGATCAATAAATGCAAGTTAACTATTAGTTTTACCTGAGAGTTCTAATGCAAGATCAACGGAGCACTCATTCTCAAAACGTATGTGACAAAATTTTCTATTACTTAAACGAATTGTCAATATTTCCCCATAGTTGGTAAAAATTGATTTCATTATATCTTCAGTAATGCTGTCTGGTAAACCTCCAACAAATACGGTTCGACAGCCTGGGGGCCTCTCTCTAGAAGTTGGCGTAGGAGCGTTTGAAGGAGGTGGGTATAGCGTGCACAGTTCTAGTTGTATAATTCGTTTGTCTGTCTGAATGACATTGGAATCTGGTGCTCTTGGTGTTGTATGATTAACAATCATTGAAGAGGGTGTTAGCATTCCACCCATGACACCATACTAAAAAAATTACATATGTAACATTGATTTCTAAAAAATTTAATTTTGTACTAACTTGTCCCATGAACATTGCAGAATCCATTACGGTCATTGGGTTAATTAAATTAAATGGATTAAATTGAGGCATTATTTCATTCCACAAAGGAGAAGTTCTAACAGGTACGGGTGGTTTATTAGAAGAAATATTTGCATCAATAGGCAAGTCTATTAGAGATGTTGGTTTATCCCCGTGTATGTCATTGAACTGTGTATCACTGAAAATATTATTATAATACTAAGCTATAATATTAAAATTTAACAATTTATTGTAAAATAATTATGTCCACAGTAGGTACAAACTTTCTTAGATTTCTAGTTCGTTCAACTATTCGTTCCCATTGATCATCAGAATTAATTTTTTGGGCATCTGGTTGATCCCACCGTCCTCTCTTATTTTCAGTAGGTCTATTCCTTTCATCTGTGCTCGTAGATTCTGTAATTTTTCTTCGAAAAACTGCATCATCTACAAAAATAAATTTAAAATGTTTAGTAACACATACAAAAGCAAAGAATAAAAATTTTCTTACAATATGAAGCCATTTTTCATTACTCTATATTTCGATAGTAAAAAAAAGGCAATTTGTAGTATTGAAGGGCAAGTAAAGAAAATAACCATGGGTGTCAATGAATAATATGAAATTAGTTTGATCTAAATGAAATTAAGTAAGTATGAACCATGAGCACGAAAGAAAAAATCAATAATTTATTAAATTAACTGTATAAATAGTAAATACAATTAACTCTATAATCCATAAAAAAATATAAATAGGTATAATAACATAAAGTCATAAACTATATAATTATTAGTTATCTACAGCCGCACAGCGGTGTGCCCACTGCCAGTGTCTAAGATACCTATCTACCTTCTCAATCTTTTTGTTTCTGCTTTTTTGATTCTTCCCCAGACACAGCATTATATAAATCAAAATACTTTTTTATCAAACAACATGGAAGAAGAAGAGTTTAAAAGTTGATAGCAAAAAAATTATTGTTAACAAGGTGGATTGATTATCAATGATCACTGATCAGTCCATATATTTTGTAGTTAAACAATTTTGTTGTGAATTTGTTTGCTTATTGCATACTATTATACTAACATTATTTTTTCGATATAAAAACAACTGCCTATTTTCGATCTAGTGGTAAATGATATTAACTTATTACTTACGGTAGGATTATTGGAGACACAAATATCTGATTCATTATATTTGTATTCTACGATCTCTTAACAAAACTTGTACAATTGAACACTATTAAAATATACGTGTACTTACCTGTACATAATTTTTCTAAATATTTATTTTGGATTAAAAATTGTATAGGTTTTATTTAAACTATGCCTGTAAACACATTTATTCGATGGGATTATGTAATGGACATTTTAACCCATTACAGTGTGAATAAAAGTTTTATGGAAGCATTTAAACATACTCCTAATAATGAAAAGGTAAAACTCTGTATGCAAAATGAATTCATCAGGTACATATTTTTTTTCACAACTGTTGTATTACAAGATCAGTACATCATATTTATTGTGTATGGTTAATGTATGTCTGTATCATAGGAGCTTTTTGGAAAAATGGTTGGATGAACCAAAGTTTAATGCCAGTCTAAAAAACTCAACCAAATCCAAAGAGACACGGCTGGCGGCTAATGAAGAGTTCAAAATGAATCGCCTGGAGTTGTGCTGTAAGCTATACACTAAAGCGGCTCAGTTTGCACCGTATAAAAGTATAGAATTAGCATTAGCGTTTTCTAACCGTTCAGCTGTATACCTGAGGCTAAACAAATATCAAGTATGGTTTTTTGTAATTCAATGATAAAAGAAAAATAATATACATATAATTTATGTTATTCCAGGAGTGTTTAAAAGATATTGAAGCCAGTCTAAATATATTGGAAAATTCAGAAATTAATGAACAAGACGTTCACAAAGGACAATTAATTGTGAAATTGTTAAAACGTAAAATTGAATGTTTTATGGCTTTGAAACAATTTAAAACTGCTAAAACTAACTGGAAAAATATATTAGAACTATCAAAGAATGTTTATAAAATACCCTTAGAAGGTTAGTGGTATAAGAAATATTTTATAATACATACATTATTTATTATTAATTAATTAATTATTTTAATATAGATCAATTTATAAAAAAATGCAAAATTTTGTCTGATTGTGATAAAAATAATTCTAACAACGTAGATATTGTTGAAAATGCTGATGAGACGCTTACGGAAGATCTAATAAAAAAAAAACTGGATACAAATAAAATAACTCTTCCATTTAGGTCTCCCAAAATGGAGTTATGGTAATTATGGCGATAGTTGACTATGTATCTGTATTCTGTAAACAGTTTAATTAAGTAAATATACTCTGGAAACCCTAATGTAAATACAAGTTGATATTTATTGCATTTATAGTATACATCACAATATTAAATGAAAATGTAATGTTTGTAAGTTGATATTATGTTTTAGAGGACATCATACCGGCTTGTATCAAAACATGCCTTAAATTCACAACTTCATAAAAATATTTTCTGGTGCTCTGGGAAATATTTTTACCATTAAATTTGATATTAGGTCAATTCATTCTAATTTTAAAAATAAGTAATAACAGTGAAAGGTAAAATTTGTTAAAATGTTATGCGATATGCATTAGTATTACCGAGAAAACACATGTGTATGAACAGAGCTCTACTTTTTAATTTTAGGGCCAGGGGCAATAAATTGTTTGTTTATACTTTTTATTGTTTTGTGGGTAATACTATAATATTATAAGTTATGTTGTGTCTTGTGTAATATTCATATATTTTATTTATACATACTAAATTTAATTTATTGGATTTTGAAATTATGGTTGAAAAGTCTATTTTTGAATTTAAATTCATATTATTTAAATATATGAATTTATATTCAAAAATAGAATAGGATCCATTTATTAAGTATTTATTGAGTACTTGAGTATTGTTTCAAGAATATTGGTCAACTATTACCTAATGGTTTTCGACTGGTCTGACTACCTATTTAATTATATTATACTATCCATAAAATTAAACAAATAATATTGATTGAACTGGAATTAACATTTATATTAAAATAAATACAATTACTTCTCAATTTTATTTGATAATTATTGATTTATATTTTAAGAACCCGAAATCTTTTTTTACCACAGTTCCAAGTAAATTTAAGTATAAAATATGGTTAAAAACTATTTGCAGATATTATAATTTTATCTATTTACCAAGGTTTAAATATTATTTCAGTTATTCCGAAGCTAAAGGAAGATATTTTGTTGCTTCAACAAAAATAGAATATGGAGAACTTTTAATATTTGAAAATCCATTTGCATTTGTGCTACTACCAGAATATTACAATTCATTTTGTTACAACTGTTGTGTACCATTAAAATATTATTCTATACCGTAAGTGACTTTAAATTTCCAATTTATCATTCATTTTTATATAAAGATAACTATAGGGAAGTAAATTAAATTTTTTTCAGATGTGATAATTGTTGCACTATTTTGTTTTGTGGTGATAAGTGTCTTCAAGAAGCAAGGAATTCATATCATCGTTGGGAATGTAAAAAAGGAACATCAATTTTCAAATGTATTGGCATTGCCCATCTTGCATTACGTTTGACAATAGAAACTTCTCAAGCAAACAGCAATAATGATCAAATTTATAATCTATTAACACATATTGATGATTTAAAATCATTAGAATTATACCAATACAGTCTGGTATATATATTTTATATTTTTAGTTTATATATAGTAGAAAAATGTAATATATTTTTAATATTAATAAAATAATAGGTTAATAATTAATACTATTATTTATGATTCTAATATATCTAATATTATGACTTTAAAGTAATCATTATTATTAAAAATATTTTGATTTATTTTTCAATGAGTCCACCTAAACTAAGTAAAGTCATTCATATTATATTAACAGAAATGTAGTGCTTATTCTTTGGTTATTTCAGACTGCCACTCTTTTGCTTATATACTTGCAAAAAAAAACCGATTTCTTTGAAAAACATCCAAATCTTGTGATGGATTCAGTGGGCAATGAATTACTACACCATATGACAAGATTAGTATGTAATGGAAATGCTATTTCCACTCATATGTTGTCAGATTATGACTCTGGATCTCATACTTCAATTATTGACGAATCTCAACCGCGTATTGGAACAGCTATTTTTCCTACTTCAAGTTTATTAAATCATTCATGCAACCCAAATATATTTTCAAGGTAAACTTGTTGACTTGACTTTTAATTCAATCAATTTTTAATTGGAATAATCTTTTCAGTAATATACTGAAGTATGTTGTCATTAAAGCTTCACGAGATATAAGCGAAGGAGAAGAAATTACTAATTGCTATGGTGAATATACAATAATTATATCAATCATAATATTCTTGTTCATAATTTAGAAAATTTTAGGGCCTAACTTTCTACGGATGCGATTAGTTGACAGACAGGCTTCATTGAAAAATCAATATCATTTTGATTGTGAATGTGATACGTGCTTGGATCCTCAAACAGATGATTTATTTTTTAAATCATTCGAGAGACTTGTATGTTTGCGATGTCACAATGAAATTCCAGCAACTTTGTCAGATTTAGATGTTAATGAAACTGTGTATTGCGGTTTATGCTGTGTACGAATTAGAACATTAGATTATAAAAGAAACTTACTTAAAGCCGACAAAACTTATAATAAAGGTAAAAGTAGCAAATAAAAATTAGTATTATCATTATATACTTTATGGATATTATTAATGGGGATGTTTTTAACAGGGATATTGTGCGGGTAAACCGATACAAAGAGAAATACCCCAGATCAGATATAATATGTGCTGTAAATAATATCTAATAATTTAATATTTATTCCTTTAGTCAACATAATTGAATGAGAATTAAATATATTTGTCTAGATTAAAAGTACTTCGGGTTGGGTCTTGATAATGGATGTTGTTTGTTTTCAGTTAATTATGTTAGAAATAACAAATAACTTAATTTTCCTGAAGCATACTATTTGTACTGATATAAAATCAATTTTTATCATCAGTTCTGATCAGAGTTTAGTCAATCATTTGCAGCAAACAAATCAAATGATTTCTGATTTCTTTGTATCTTCACTCTTTTTATTGGAATACCTGATTTTTTTTTATAAAAATGAGGGTTTTTTAAATCTAATACTGGTTGGACGGTTAGTGGTCATAGTTTACTGAAAATCTGTATTCTCAATATCTCAACCACTATGAAGTACTCTAGTAGCACTTAAATGTGCAGGATTCATAAGTATACTAATATAATGACGCATATAAATAAAATATGAATTATGGTACAACAACTGAACCACCATATACATACATTTTATTCATTGAATAAATAATTATTATTATATGTGCTGAGGGCTGATGGTTAAATAATGTTGACTGAATGTCCTAATTTAATATATTTTCGTTGCTTTTAACCGTTTTTTTTTTTCAAATTAGGAATGAAACAACTCAAAGCAAGTAATGTTTTACACGCAATAAATGTTCTTTCTGAGAGCTTAAGACTTTATAATATCATTTTGAACCAAAATAACTCAAATATTGCAAAATGTGAAGATAGTATTGCAAAATGTTATGCTTTAGCTGGTAAGATAATTATATAACATAAATTCAGATTATTAGAATTCATTTTAAAAACATTTTTTTTTTACATTTCTGAATACTTCACAAAAATATTATCTATGTTTTCATTGCTTTTTAGCTATTTGATTAAAATGTTTGTGTAGATTATTAGTTAAACATAATATTATACATCAATGAATTTATTTTAAAATATTTTGAAGACAAAATTGTTTTTATTTTTGATTAATTATGGTTTAATATCCTGTGTGAGTTTTAAAATTACTCCAAAGTGAAATTTATTTATTTATTTATTTATCATTTTATGTTAGTAATTCCTAATTTAAATAGTTGTATATGTTAATTTATATATTATATAATTTCAGGAGATTTTGAGAATTGTTGTATATATTTAGATATAAGTTCTAAAGCAATAGAAAATCGTTTTGGTAAAAATAGTTTAGAAGTTGCTTATGAATTGGATAAAATGACAGATATAATGGTCAAAAACCTAGACATGAGAAATGATCGGTAATTATTGTAATATGTTAATATTTTCTTATATTTATATTTTAAAATTTTGGGGTGATTCTGAGTATAAAATTATGTTTCATTAATATTACATTTTATATTTTAATTCTTCATCCCATCACAATTATTATTTATTATTCAAATAATATTTTCTTTCTGCTTCTTATTCACATTTTATAAAATATATTTTCTTATGTATTGAATATTGGACTACTGACTAGTAAGTCAATAGCTATAATTATTTAAATTTTGAAGTTAATACAATAGCATTATAATACATTATAGTTGTACATATATTTTAAATTTAACCCAAATATTAATCTATTTATCAAATGTGAATTATATTTACTACAATTCAATTATTTATAGGAATTTAATTCATAAAGCATTAAAACATGTCCGGAGGTCAATGGAAATATTTGATGCCAAGTTGTCTGCGTGGGATATTCCGTATAGTGGTATAGAAAATATCAAACATAAAGAAAATATATTGTTACAATTCTTGGAAGGTAGGTTTTGAAATCTAAAATCCAAAATCTAAATATTGAAAAAATGTTTTTTTAACTAGGTTGTTACATTGATGTACTATGTACAATTTTATTTATACCTTATTATTTTGTAAATTGTAATCTTTATATAACTATGATGTACATTGTACATCATAAATTCATAAATAATATACATAGGTATATTATAAGATAAGAAATATTTTAAGTTTTTGTAATTTTATTATTATACATTAGATTTAGATTTAGACCTACCTCTTTATCTTTATTTGTGTGTATTTAATTGAATTTATACTGTTTATAATAAAATACATTTGTATATTGTTTTGCTTAATAGATTAATTGTTTTGTGATTATATTATGAAGAATACCTATGTCGTTATGTCAAACTCACTATGCATTGATCTACTCGTTAAGGCTGTGATATTATGCAATGCCTATTTGAATAAAAACAATCTGTGCATAGTACATATTTTTTCACAGTAAATCAACAAATTATTACATCTTAACACGAATCAAGTGATACGACAAGTAACCCATTTGTATACCTCACTTATTATTATATATATTTTTTTTTTAATATTTAAAATAAGTCTCGGTTCCAGTTTCTTATAATATTATGTCCGTGAAGAGATTTGTCAAGAATAAAGTAAAGACATATTCGCATACTCACATGTCCCATATATGATAATTAATTGTTTATTGCGATTGACGATATCAATTTTCTAAGCATCAGTTTAATGTAAATGTTATTTGTTGTACCAATAGCTATCCTGTAAATCAAAGATACTACTTATGGATTGTTGTTATTGTCTTTGTGTATGACAACATAATATCGATGAATTATAAAACTTATTAAGATTTTAAATTTTGAATAAATCGAGTTAGAATTGTATTAGTAAGTAGTACAATGTACTATGTAATAGTACATTATTTAATTACTTTTAACAGGTTGAGAGCCATGAGACCCAGTTTTAGTTCTGATTTTGACTGCCAATAATGATTTTAAAATTATGTTTATTTATTTTTGATATTTAAGTGTCTTAATAATAATAATAAAATTAGGTTTTTGCTATTCATATCAAAATATTGTGCAGAATTTGAAAATACATTTTATTATATTTTATATTTGTCACCATCATTATTGTTACACTTTTACTTTTTTTTTTTTTTTTTATTAAATGAATATTTACAATCTGTATACAACGTAATACAATAAGTAAATTATGATAGTTTAAACGAGAAAAAAAAAAGAAACGAAAAACATGAAGGCTTGAGAAAAGGGGGCACCCATTGACACCACTTCAAACACTTTTACTTAAATACAAATTCAGTTTAACTGAATCATTTTATTTGTTTGAAATATACTTAATAAATATAATTTAAGTAAAAGTGTAATAATAATGATGGTGACAAATATAAAATATAATAAAATGTATTTTCAAATTCTGCACAATATTTTGATATGAATAGCAAAAACCTGATTGTATTATTATTTCTAAGACATTTAAATATCACTCCAATATCAAAAATAAATAAACATAATTTTAAAATCATTATTGGCAGTCAAAATCTATTTTAGAACTAAAACTGGGTCTCATGGCTCTCAACCTGTTAAATGTAAATAAATAATGTACTATGACATAGTACATTGTACTACTTACTAATACAATTCTAACTCGTTTTATTCAATATTTAAAATCTTAATAAGTTAATAAGTTTTATAATTCATCGATATTATGTTGTCATACACAAAGACAATAACAACAATCCATAGGTAGTATCGTTGATTTACAGGACAGTTTTTCATGTTTTTAAGTATTTAGTACATTTTAAGATTATGTCATCGGCAACACAGTACATCAGCTGGTATGTCAGACTCAAAGTTATAACTGGGCCAAATATATTGAATAGTTTACGATACTCAGTAGCACATTTAGATTATCAATAAACCTCCATAATAATATTTCAATTAAGAATATTTTTCATGTTAAACATGAAACATAATATTGTAATAGGTAATGAACATTTTATAGATGAAAACTTAAAATTGTATTATTTGTATTGGGTTATAAAGAATAATCATGATGTATTATTATCAAGGAGAAAGACAAAAGTAGGTACACATAAAATATTAATATTGTTTCATTTATTTATTAGATACTACCACATCATTGTGGCAGCTATAATCTTAACATGTGAAACATAATTTCAGAATATGTTTTAACTGCACAATATGTATAACATTTGAATATTATAAAAAACAAAAATTTTGTATAATTTTGTAACAAATCAATCATTATTTTAAAAAATCTGGTATACTGTGATTAGAAAAAAATAATTGAATCAAAGATCAGAATGTTTGAAAACTGTCAAATTTTTTAAATATTTGTCTAAAGCATTAAGACAGTATAAAGACACAAATAAATATAAACATCCATGATGTGTTATTGGTTAACAATATTCAGTAACAATTGTCTATAATTTTAAATAAAACATAAAAAAAAGAAAATAAAAAAAAGAAACTAAAATTAACGAAAACAACAAGAAACAGGCAACCAATATAAATATATATTCATGTAGTATAAGACTAAAAGTTAAGTATTCTGTTGTTTCATAATTTAGAGATTTTTACTATTGAAGTATTACATTTGATAATTATGGCTAAATGGATTAGATAAGTAAACATGACAATAGCCACAAGTAGTGAATAATTGATTTTTAATCTTAACCCTGTATTGAAAAGAATAGAATAAAAACCAGCTGAAATTTTATGAGTGACAAATATTAATATTATTGAGTACTTTTCATTATAAAATGTATAAAAGTTGCCTATTAATAAATAAAAAAAAAAGACAAAAGACAAAAAAGAAAAAAGTTAAATTATTAATTGTATTTAAGGTAACATTATGAAGTAAACAAACAAAATAAATTAAAATTAAAACTAAACCTCATTAAACATAAATGCAAAACTTTATTATAATTTTTATGTTTAACAAAAAGGAGGAACTTTCAGGCCTAATTGTGTGATTTTTAGTGACCATCACACCCTACGCGAGGATAATAAATAATTTATTAATTCATCAATCATTGATCAGTCATTTGCTTAGAAAATAAACAAAACAGTTGTGTTTTGGAATTATTCATAACTTTGCTATAACTTGGTTTAATTTTTTTATAAAATATTAAAAAAAAATAGTACATACATACATTATATATAAATATATATATATGTTTATGCATATAAAGTACATATTCATTTTGAGCTTCTTACTCGTTTTGACAGTCAGTCTTGTTACAAACATTACGGAACGTATGTTTTTCAATTATTTTATTCACTGTCATCATCTTTGTGGCATAAGTCTAATACTACCCTGTCAAATTCTACCATACGTTCATCAAAACATTTAATTTGTTCAACAATTTCAGACAGGTGGTTGCAGACATTCAAATGGTCAGAACGAACTTTTAATGATGGAGCACCAAGAAACTTTTGATAGAAGAGCGCCAATTCAATGTTTGGATTTGAATCGGAAAATGCAGCAGGCTTAAATTGTAACGGATTGGTGTCACAACTACGTCTCCGACAAAAATCTTCAGGTGATTGAGGTTTTACAGACTGGCCCTAAAATGATTAAAAATAAATTAGCATAGAAATAAAGATAACAAATAAATAAATAAAATAATTATTTGACCAAGATTAAAATCAAATAACAAACTAACACCAGTGATAAATCAATTACATTTTTTAATTTCCCAATTAATTATTTGTTAGTTAAAAAAAAAAAACCCCACTAAAGTAAAGTTAGTTATTAATAAAATTACCAATTCTACCAAAATAAAATCATGGATGGCCTCATTGCTGGATGTATTCATCGAATGATTGAATTTGTTCTTGGTTTCAGTAGTATTGACATTATTGGCAACTCCAGTGCTTATCGCCACAGCGTTGCTTACTGCAGAAGTCTTATTATTTTGGATAGAAGATGTCACTGAATTGTTATTTTCATTTGTGGACTCTTGAAGTTTTTGTAATTGATTACTAGGTACCATGTGTGGTGGCCAATATTCAGCTCGTTTTCTGGGCTTTATGAATGTATCTTTGGGAAACTCAGGAATACGATATAGGTTAAGTTTCTTCACTTTTTCTTCGAGACTGTCTGAAAAAGCACCCACTGTCCAATCATCCATGATGTATGCTGTCCTGGACGGATCACTAAATTTAAACATAATTTTAATGTTTAATTATATTACAACAACAGACAACTGTTAGAATATAAAGTGGACTCCAGAATAGGATAATATAATAATAATTTGTTAATTTTTTTTAGGTTATATGAGCCACACAGATAGTTAATTATACATGTTCAAAAATAGCACTTTATTCTGGAAACCACTGAAATAAAAATAATAAATAAAAACATACATTGGAGTTTTGATTATCTGATTGTGCCGAGGGCTATACTCTTTTCGAAAATGATCACTTTTCAACATGATTGGATCTTGTTGAGACGTTAGTGTCATAGAGGTACGATAACAAACCGTCACTTGAATGGTCCCGATAGGCATTGACACTTGGCCAATTTGTAATTCTTTATATTCTTTTCCTATAACACGGTTAAAATAAATACAACATGAATATCAATTTATCATACATAGTGGCAAGTGCATATGATTTTTTTGGCAGCTTTAATTTTCTTTTGTGATATTTTTGTACAGAAAATAGTATTATAATAATTATATAGAAATATGTGATTTTTAGTGATGTTATTGTCTCGAAATGTAAGAATGAAAACAATTATTCATACCATATTACCACACGCCACACATATACATAGTTTATTTATGTGTTAAAATTGAATAATAGTTTAGAAATGAGTATGGGGACTAGTCAATCTTTAGTTGTTAGTTCAATTGTGCAACACGACCTCTAAAAACTATGAAAACAAATTTATTGGCAACAATTTGGATGCACTCCGGGTCATGACATTGTTGAATTATATATAATTATATAAATAATATAACTATTACATGAACTAATATTTATTCCAAACAGTAAAATAATAAGTATAGAAAAGAGCTAATTTTTCCTTTATTTTTTTTGTTTTTGTTTTTTAATAATCATGAAAATTATTCATGTATTAAAGTACTCGGAATAAATTTCTAACAAAATAAACTACCTAAGCATAGACCGTATTACGATTTTGATGCCAATTTTCTTGACTAATACTGATATTCCTAGTAAGACACGATAAATCGCTAATAAAACATTTAATTATAACCTAATATTGCAATATACACTATAAACATTATAATATTATTATAATCATGCAGCCAATGGTTGTAATATTATGTTTAAACATATTAGCGTAATAAACTGTAGGTAATATTATTAAGTATCACACAGAAAATATTTTTATCGAGAACATGTTGTTTATATCAAAATTCACAACTCTTATAAGAATAGTCAGAGACAGAAAAAAAGTATGCTGTTTTACAACTTATTTCTTGTTTTGTAATGCATACATAATATCATAGTATCATACACGCGTATCAAAGAAAAATTATAGATAATTAAGTACAAGTTACACGATTTTTTGTTATGTAAGTTTCTTAAAACTTAATTTATTTTTTTTCAAATCGAAAGGCAATTAAAACACAACCTTTGTTATATCCGTCTTTTTTCGTCATAAACAACGCTTACGTTATTTGAAAAATAATAGAACTTGTACTTTAAAGTTAAATTATCTGAACTCAAGCCATTGGTGGCGAAATGTTGTTATTGGAAACAGTATTCGGAGTATGACGTGTTGCTTATATGTTACTGAATTTGACAAATTATGTGATAATATTATATTTGTTAAAGATTATATTACGTATGTCTGATATGATATACCTAAATACTAATAACTAGGGCACGGATGATGTTGCATTTGCAACTTTTTTTTTACTTTTTCAATTAATTGCTAAGTAAGTTTTAAATACGTTTCATGTAAGTACGAATTCAAATCTAAAAGTTTTAAGTGCAATTTTTTGCAATTTTTGGGATTTTTTTAATTTTATTGCAATTTTGTCGAATTTACTCATTTATACAACTATTTTAGCAATATTTAAACTTATATATGACTTAAAACCATTATTACAATCAATGATATACTAACTGGACAAAGAAAATCGTTCGATGGTTTAAACGAAGACTTAACAGTAAGCGATTTATCTTATTTTAAATACGCTCCGCTTACATCAACCGACGTAGAATGAAGTTTTTCGAGATATAAGAACTTACTAGCTCCAAATCGAAGATGGTTTTATTTCGAAAATTTAAAACAAACACTTTTAGTACAGTGCAATGATGTATATATAATAAATTTATAATGGCATGTTTATAATGTAATGTATATTTTTTTTGAATTATTTAGAATTTTAGATTTAATTTATAACAGTAAACTTAAAACATTTATACACAAACGTTGTTATTTTTTAGTGCAATTTTTAATATTTTAAGTGCAATTTTTGATATTTTTTAGTGCAATACTGCAATCAATTTTACTATTTTTTTAGTACTACAACATCCGTGCCCTACTAATAACCAATAGGTATTAGGTACGTCGCACACACATTGGCGTATAATTTAAAAAATCTACTAATGCAAAAATATAAGGATTTAAACGATCTTCATAACTTAAAAAAATAATTAAAATACGTCAGGCATGTGGTTGGTTTGTGATTTATTTTGAAGTTAATATAAATGGTGGTGGGAATAAAAAATATTCTTGAGAGTTGTGAGTAAGAAATGTGGTAAGTCGTAAGTACTAAAGTACGTGTTGGTTATGTTTAAAATAAATTTAAAACTGTCTTAGAAATAATATATGTATATTGTATACACTTAAATTAGTTACAGCGCTTGCATTAATTAATCGACAAGGTTCATAACAGATAAATAGAAAAAAACAGAGTGTCATAATAAGTTTTACTTATAACACGTCTGCAAATTATTTACAGTAGAAGTTCAATTAAATTTGTGTTTACTTTAACACTTTTATCGCATGTAGGTACAATATCTCATCATAAAAATGTATTATTAATTTCGACTGAAGTTCGCGGTTGTGTACATCGTATAATGGCTTTTAAATAACAGTGTAATTTTATTTACTGTATATTATGGTATATGTAATCATAGTTTAGGTTAGGTACTTTGTACTTAGGTAGGGTAGAAACTAGAAAGAAGCATCTGTTCATCTAGGACGCTACAAAATGCAAGTGAAAGTGGAAACTTGTCATCATGACATTTGACCCAATAATGAGTAAAACACGCGTTGACGGTTAACTAAGAATTATTGTTTCGCACGTTTTTCGTCAAGTTGGAATTCAAATTAAATCATAATATAACATAGGTAGGTACATAATATAGTACAGTGTTATAATTGTATGTAATTAGGCACAAGGTACATGTAAGAAACGTCAGTTCGCAATACCACGCAACAACGTTAAGGTGTAAGCAAATCGGTTAGGACTTAGGTTTAACTGTTTAAAATGATATAACATTGTACTTTCTCATTATAACAATAGCAAAATATTTATTATTTAACATTATAACTTTTACAGAAAATATTTATATCTTATAAGTCATATTATTAGGTACATTAGTTTTTCATCAATTTAAAGTTTAGACAATAATTATAATTATTATAATACAGCCAACAGTTTGGACCAAACAGCTGTACAGTTGAGTTAAGATATTGGACGATTCACGATTATTTAATTCATAAAATACTTTAATTTTTCAGTGAAAAAAATAATATGTAATGAAACCCGTCTACAATATACGGAATACGTTTCGCTTCGTTAAGTATTCCGGTTTTTTAGCAATCCGTATAACTGCATGGACTGTTTTATTTTTAATATATTCATTACGGAAGGTATTTTACGAATCTATAATAAATTTTAAAAACATTTAAATAAATCATGCATTTATCTTCAAATTAAAATTTTAAAACTTTTTTGTTTTTACTTTTTAATTTAATCAAGTTGATAGCGCAATTATTACTACATACCTATTATAAAATGGGTATCCGGACAATTTCCCCCCGGACATTTCCCCCCTGATTGTTTTTGGCGTAGTAGGACATTTTCCCCCGAAAAATGTTCCGATGCGGACATTTCCCCCCCTTTCTTTTTAATTATTTTTTTTTCATAAATATAATCAATTATACCTACTACAATTAACTTTATAAATGTATACTATAAATTTTTTTTTTTTTTTTTCATAAATATAATAAGACATAAAAAAATTTTTATTTTATTGTTTCAAGTAGTTGAATTGATCAAAAATATACATCTAGTATAATAGGTAATTATAGTATAATTAATAATATTTATAAAAAAAATTATATTTTACTGAAAAAAATAATTTCTTATTAAATAATAAATAATAAACTTAAAAAAAAAATGGGGGGAAAATGTCCGCATCGAATATATATTGGGGGGAAAATGTCCTACTACGCCAAAAACAGTCCGGGGGGAAATTGTCCACCATTCTATAAAATGCATTTAGCATTATAGATTAAACAAATAAATTGTGGGTGGCTAATGGCTATACCGGGGAAATAAAAGTTTATACCTATAGAATTTAATACTTTAATACTCCTCTGATTATTTTTAATAATGAAATAAGTTTAACAAAATTCTTGGCCCAAACTAATTTTTAAAATACATATAAATTAAATATTTAAATATAATATGAATATTTAAGCCCTTGTATTATTTTAGCGACATAATAATCATATATCTAAAATTCTAAACTAATGGATATCGGACATTCGCTGGTTTAAAGAATTTGTTATTGTTTCGAGAATTCAACAAAAACAAAATATTCAACATAGAAAAATATAGATAATCATAGACGTTTTTAAATATGTCACATAGACCATTCAATAATTGTCAATAATTAACAATGTCTAGATGCTACGCAGAAGGTGATTCAGTTTCAAATTATTTCCCACTATTAACATTGTTGACTAAACGTTGAGTAATTTGTGATTCTGATAAATGAGAGACAGGAGTTTAAACCATAAAAGTGTTATAATTACTATTAAGACTGATAGTTTTAGATTGTAAAAAAATACTGTATGCATAAACGATAAACGAACAAAAACGACATAAACAAAATAGTAAAATACGCTACTAATTCTATGCGATAAATAATTGTTTTAAAATTAGGCATAATAACACACCCGCTTATCTTATGGAACCAATTCAAAACAAGTGACCTATTCAAATATTAAATTTCGTTTATAACGGGATAAAATGTTGTTATAAATTATAGTATATAGTATATAATTGGAGTAAAAACTAATAAACATATTATATTTTTATAAAGCGAAAGCACGAAAACATTTTATGTTGAGAAAATTATATTTAGATTTGAAATATTTATAAATATTATATCAAATTATTCTTGAAGCAATAACATTTTCATAGGGAAAACATCTTGAATCCCGATATAAGTGATATAACGGAATAATGTGTCATAGAATATAGCGCCTAATAAAGCAATAAATAATTTATTGTTTAGATGTCAATGCTATTCATGGTAGTTTCTAATTGGATGTTGTTCAAAAGTGCATAGCAGGAATCACTAATACCGGTTTCCGTCGTCATATTATGATCACATTCACGTATATAGTATATACCATATAATTATTAAATTATTTAAGCAGAATGTTCTACGAAACTTTATTAAAAATTTAAAATAAGTGGTTGTGTAGCTTAAAAGTTACTCTAACTAACTACCAACTAATATTTTAAAATTTAAATATAAAAACCGGTAAACTAGCTTCCAATGCATAATAGGTTATGAGTTCATTTTATCTTATTTTTATTTTATTTGTATTAGACATTAAACTAGTAATTATACAATACAAATATATGGTTAAAATACATTTTTAAGAGGTAATACATTAAATACAATTTGAAAAATGGTAGTCATTGGGTATATTATAAAGGCTATAATATCGAGTCTTTATAACTCAAATTTATTTATCGTCCCTTGTGTTTTTAAGGTATGTAACTTAAAAAATACGTAAGTCAAATTAATTTATATTTAACTTGAGATTCGAGTTATCGAAACTCGATTGTATTCATTATATTTGGCAATTGACAGTGCCTATACAACTTTTTTGTTTGATACTTTGTGAACAATATCTAACAGTTGGGTTAACTTTAATCGGGATTGTACAACTGGCCCATAGTAGTGTCCTTTCTAACAGAACATTTTCTGGTTCATTAAGGAAATCTAAGAATATTATCTTTAAACCATCCTACTCCTCCCAATTTTAATCTTTTTAATGTTATCCACGAATGTCATTGTAACTCATGCCCTGGAGGTAGATCACTGTAGATGTGCCACTGGTATTTGGTGATATCCTATTTTATGATGTCGGTTGTTTTTTCCCTTTCTTGCATTTTAATTTATCGTACTTTGAGAGGGTCATTTGATAGAGCGTAAAAATATTTAAATATTTTATATTGTTTTTATCCGTTGTTCTAAATTAATGGCGATTAATCGTTTAATTGAGCTAGGGAGGTGCTATTACCTGTCAGTAAGTACTATAAGTATAATATACTTCATCAGTTGGCCTATTTTTAGGGACCCTATTACGATACGGCAAGCATCGTTTAGACTTTTAGAGGAATATTTATATTAACATGAATTGATCTCATCATTGTAGTAGATGTATTATAAATTTATACAGACAATAAATCATTGCATACGAATAACGATTCTGAGGTAACGTACTAACGTTACTAACGGATTGCACCTATTATCACAGATTATATAAATAAAATAAAAATATAAAATAATATTTTATATAATCTGTGCTATTATTGAGAATAGTTTATCTTATATAGAATGGTATGAATAGGTTTGTGCCGATATAAAATATTTATAAATTAGTTTAATGAGAAATAAGTAAATATGATTAAAAAATTCATTGTGTACACAACGTAATGATATCTGATATAAACTTTCATAATGGTGAAGAGTTTCAAGTCTATAGTTATTCCTTTCTGAATTACAAAAAAAAAAAACAACAGAATTGCCGAAAACTTGTGTTACGTAAATATTCTTGTTTTCCCGTTATTTTTGTTAGTTTTTTCCAATTACATAATATATTTTTATATTGAGAAAAGTATTTTCGTACTTTTGAACCACCAAAATATCGACTAGACTAAATTTACTACTAGAAACTACTCTCAAAGTTGAACATCGAAGTAAATGTTTTGCTTTATGACAGAACATATTATCACTCTACAACAAATACATTCCTTCCTTCACTCAAAATCTATAACTATGTCGACGCAAAAATATACAATTAGAGCTTATATTATTAGTTTAATTTTTTTTTTGAACTCTGTAATTATAAAACTGTAGGAGATCAAAATGTGAAAAGTGCCCAAATTATCCTTTTCTAAAAAAATGTATACATCATAATACAATTACCTATAACAATACTAGGACTGTAAAATTAACCATAAACATTCAATAGTAATCAGTCAAATTCTGTACACGTATATTTTCGGCTCATTTAATTTCAGATTTAAACTGTGTAATAATAATCTATTTATGCTACTTATTATACTACTTTCATAGTAAATTAGAATTGTATTGAGTAAATTCAAATCAAAACAACAACACTGCCATTTTTGACGAATAATTATTTGTTCCGTTCATGATCGACCAAAAACATACTTAATTATTATTTTTAACATTAAGAAATTCGCATACATTAGGTAATGAACCTGTCTTTGTATATTTCATTTTTAGCCATCTCTGACTAAAACATAAAATATAGGTACAACTAAATCATAATTGGGAGGATTGAATCTCAAGTCGCAACTATGCCAAAAATAACACTGTTGCACTAACCAATGATTACTTCAATGAAGTTGATTATAAATGCATTAGATAATTATCTACAGGTTTGTTTTAGTTAGAACTTTAATACGTACATGCTCATTGCTCATAGAGGAAATGGAATTTGAAATTGAACGCAGACAATTATTCCATTAAACTGTTTTTATAAATATAAAAACTAAAACTAAAGATAAGGTTTACTTATGTTTTTAAATTCTAACAAATTTATTTATTTTAGGAACACGGAGTTAGGAAAATTTTCTAAAACATCACTCTAAAATTATATGCATGGTACTCAAATACAAATATATTAGTATATAACTATATATTGTTATAATACGTGGAGGTGTGGTAGGTATAATGCATAAAGGAACAAAACCAAAATTGTTTGGAAAATAAATATTTGAATTTTATCAAAATGGCTAATGCCGTTATATTTACAAAAATAGATGAAAAATCAGTAAAATGTTTCTTTGACTTAAAAAATGACATTGACCTCTCTTCCATAAAGCCAAAGAATTATTCTTGACCCTCAGTGTATAATATTACTATTCATTCAAACAAAATCACAAATTTACATTTTTCAAGGCAATCAAAAGAATCAAACATAGTGTTCTACACACGACACAATTACAAACGAAGATGTACCCAGAATCGAATTTTTAAATTGATTTAAAATTATAAATTTATGACATTAGGTAATACATTGGCTTATGTACAATTAAAAGTGAGCTGAGTTAACACAAAGGGACATTAGTTTATATTCCATCCTTTCTGAAATACTTGAAGTACTGAAGTACTCGAGTTAACTTATCAAGTTATTAAAAAATCAAATTTTTAATGTACTAGTTTCATATAGCACTTATTTATTATAAATTGAAAATATATTATGAGTGTAATCTATTTAAAATCAATACATTTTGACATAAATCAATAACATTTTGCATAGGTATTAAACTTTGACATGAATTTATTATCATCATATTTTGCCTCTGTTCTTATTTACAAATATTATTAGTAATCTATATTCAATTATATTATAGTTTTATTACTAATTACATTCATTATAAATAATATTAGATTATTAATATAAATATATCAATATTTTGTTCAAATAATCTCTTAAATGAATAATTATAGTATTATACATTTAATTCGTTAAGCATTTTTTGATTTTACACTGATGTGTGGTTTCTTTTGTAATTATTCATTAAAGAGATTATTATTTGAAAAAAAATGTATATTAAAATCTAATATTATTTATATTTAAATAATTGTTTGGTAACCTTGATAATTAATTGAACATAATGATTTATCATTGAATTTAAATTTAACACATTCATTACAGTAAAACAGTGTCTATGTAATAGCAAAGTACACTGGACTCCTACTGTACAACAGAGCGGAGTAACCTTTACATTTTTTTTTTAATAAATAAAAATGTATTGTTAAACCGGGATTCAAATATTGAATATTTAACTCAAAAAGTTCTATTAGGTACCTAACAAACTAGTTGACTCCAAACCCTCAATGAATTTAACATATTCAATTTCTATGCAGTATTTAAGTAAATAACAATTATGAATTAAATAAATAAATTTAAATAATTTTCAAATGTATCCCAAAAAATCACACCAATAAAAACTAGAAACATAATATAAATATAATAATTATTTACATTAGATCATTATTGTTAATCAATAGGTTTAATGAACTTTATTGAATCCCCCCCCCCCACGCAATCAAAATAAAAACAAATAAATAAAAATTGTTCAAAATAGTTAGGTTAGGTTAGGTTAGGTGACACTAATGATTTTAATAAAATCCCTAATCTGTTATATAGTGTATAAACTAATTTTAAAGATACCAAGGTTGTGGAATTACAAAATGTTATACAGTGGTGGCGGGTTATAGAATTATTTGAAGCAATTGCTTCATGTCTGAAATAGGTGGGTGAGTGTATAAATATACATATAATCGTAAGTCCTCAACACAAATATCATGGCAAATATTATAATTATTAATGGCCGCTGCTGCTAATTTGGTTCAATGAAGGGTGCGGTGGTAAAAATCTTTAAAATATACAATATGCTTCAAAGCCTCCATGATTTCGCGCCGCCACTGATGTTATATGCAATATTATAGTTCTGCACTAGATAGGAATAAAGAAACTTTAGTTTGTTTACTTACCAAGAGTATGGACTTGAGGTTCTCCAGCATAAATTCTATGATGAATTTGAAAAGAATCATGTGATTGTTGTCTAGAGTACCGATAAGCTGGTATTACTCGAGAAACTGACACTAATGATTTTAATAAAATCCCTAATCTGTTATATAGTGTATAAACTAAGTGTCTAGAACAAAAAGGATCAAAGGCACTTTCTGCTAATAAACCAATGCTCCATGTTTCTAATGTCATCATATCTCCATCAACAGTTTTCAAAAATATTTCTACACATAAAGGCACTGAATCTCCAAGTCCATTGCTTAACGCTAGTTTGGTTTCGGTTACTACGTCTGGGATTTCTTTTATTGCAACATTCATCTGCAACAGAACATTTAAAAATAAATAACATTAGTAAAATGAAGTTGGTACAACACCTAGCAATTTTAAAATAGTCATATAGTTCGATATATTATTTATTAAAAGTTTTGGGATACCTATTTACATTAGTTTTAATACCTTGGAGCACATTTGCTCATAATAATTTATAGATATGCCATATGCATAAATGAAGAATAAATAAATAATTTGTTTTTTTAATAGTGAATATTTTAGTAAGATTGGTATCTATATTTATGACACCAAGTAATTTAGGCTCTTGTATCCCATTATTATGATTATAACTTTAATAGTTATCATAATTTATAAAAGTCATTCAAATTCTATCAGCCAAAATTTTCATATACCATTTTTAAGGACATATTTAATACATGTTTAATACAATTATTAAGTTAAAAAAAATTGTTAATATTAAAATAAATACCCAATTAGTTTTAATTTTTTATTTAAGTAAGATTTCAACTGTTGTTATTATCACAGAAATGCACAGATCTATTAAATGTTTACATAGTATCAAATCAGTTATCTGCAATTTCTAATAATTATCTTTAGATCTTAAATATTTTATAAGTTAATGAAACATTTTTTTTTCTTTTAGCAATGTTCCACAATTATATTATTCTGGTTATTCAATGTAAATATATTTGTCACTTTTATCATCTTTCATGAGATTTATTAACAATCATTGTACATTTATACACTTACATATATATCAAAGTTATACATCTTGGTTTAGAAACAAAACAGAATGAATTACAATAACCTAATAGAATATTATAATGTTAATGTAAAAATGTATGAACATTTTTTTTTATATAGTAATTTAATTTGAACAAAGTACATTCCATACAATACTGAACTTGTTTTCAAGGCTTTTATATCTTGCTCAACAGGATTTAATAAACTAATAATATAAATAATAAAAATTATGTAGGTACATTATAACACAAAAAAGCAAAATCAATCAAGTTCCAGTTTATACCACATATTTCGTAATAAATAAACAATATATATTTATTTAAATTAATCTAGAAGTACTTAGTTAATATTATTCCTAAATGTTATATTAATTAATTGTGTTTTAGGTTCTTTTTATTAAAATTGAAATATCTAATAAATTAAATTAGTAAAATCGTATATTATGTTGTAAATTAATGATACAATAATTTAATGTGTAAGATAATGTATAATGTGTACTTAAAATGTATTTAAAAATTAATATAACATACAATAGTCATTGATTTAAAAAAATTATTTTTGTAAATTAAATTGTTTACATTGATTCTATCCATACAATTATAGGTACTTAAATTGAAATGTTATGTAAAATATACTTTATAGTACTAGTACTATATATCCATATAAGAGTTTATTGTAGTTGTAGAAAATAGTTAAATAGATAGTGCAAGTAGGTTAGTAGAACAGCATAACAATTTACTACTAATAATCCAGCTACCTTGTAATATTATATAAGGGGTTTTGATTTAAATTTGGAAATTTATCATTTGTTTTGAAATAACTTAAGTTGATATAATAAACATGATGATTTTATTTTTATCAGTGATTTTAGATGTCTTTGAACAAAATGAGTAAATTAATTAGGTACGAGTTATTTAAGAATGTTGGTCAATTGTCAATTATGTCTTATAATGTGTAATTTTTAGATTAATTATTAAATTCAACTAGATTGTGAATTCTTACAGGCGAAGGCCAGCAGTAATTAGGTATTAAGTTAATAGTGTACTGATGTACAAAACTATACTAAACTTATGTTGTAGTTCACTTAGTACTATAACATTAAATACATATTTTTAGGTTTTTAGATGATGGAAGATTTGTATTTGTTTTCATTGAGACATAGAATTTGCAATTTTAGTTTTGTTGACTTGTAACAAGGCTTGTTAAATAGTAAACTGTATAACAGTAATTATATCATTTTCTTTAATCTATATTAAAATAAATGAAAATCATTATAATTCTTATCATTCATAAAAGTTGTAATCCATTTTAGTTTTATTGAATATACAATCTATATTTTTAAACCCTTCAAAATTAAGAAATGAAAGAATCTATGAAAGGTAATTACTAATTATATTTAATTATGACGTTTATTCATCAACAGTTAACATTTCTAGGTGATATTAATTTGCATAACTTAATATTTGATTATGATAATAAAAATAATTTTATTGTAGTAATTAAATAAAAAAAGTTAATTGAATGTTTAAATTAAAATGGCAACAAATATGCTAAAATATGTACTCATTTTATGTTTATATACATCAAATTTTGTATTTTACCTAGTACACTATATGCATTAATTAGTCATATATGACTAATCCATTAACTAATTACATTTAAATACAGAACATTATCTAATCAGTTGTTATTGTTTGCTATTCAACCATTTTAAATGTTATAATATAATGTTTTTAACATAGGTACTTTTAGTTAGCTTTCATTATAATATATTTAGGTAACAGTGTTTTAGTGCTAAATAAAATAACTAAAAGGGGGACGAGGTGGCCGAGCGGTCTAACGCGTCGACTGCGGCGCTGGCAGTCGCGGGTTCGCCTCTCGACCACTGGGCGGCATTTTTCTCCGGGCAAGTCACGGTGTCCGGAGTACAAGTGCCGCCATCCCCCAACCCGGGGCATGGCAGAAACCTACGGGTGCCCCAATAAAAATTCTGCCACCACAAACACACTCGTGTACCAACCTACCCAATCTAAAAACCTACAGTTCCCTCCCAACACCCAATGGCCTATGTTGCCGCGGGTTATCCAATAAAAAAAAAAAAAAAAAAATAACTAAAAGTATCTATATAGGTACATTAGGTGTCAATAGCTAGGGTAGGTGTAATCAATAAACTGGCTTCGGAAAGCCTATACCTACCTATTATATGGTATATACTATATGGTATACTACTAAAAGTCCGAGGTAAAAAATTCTGAGTAAAAAAGTTTGTGGTTAAAATTTCTGAGGCATAAAAAGTCCGGTACATTTATATAAGGTAAAAAGAAAAATACCATGTGATGCACAATCAAACTTAAAATTAGTACCTATTAATAATTTTATTGTAAATAAATTATTTACCTACCTAACAAAATTATTTTTTTTTTAAATATAATTTTTTTGACGACAGTTAGTTAATTTAACTGATAAGTCATAATACTAGAAAATATTATAATAATTGAATTTTTTTTGTTAGATATATTATATTTTATTTGTACGTAATTATTATTTAAATTTTTTTATATAGGTTATGAATTATGATAGGTACTAAGTACATAATTATTGATTTTTTTTTTTAATAAATTATTTTAAATATTGTTATGCATATAACATAATATACTGGAATTTTTTTTTTTTTACTCCAGACTTTTTTACTTTGATTCCTATTATATCTATCTTAGAAATGTTATAGGTATTATAAATGAGAGCTCAAAAGCCAAAAAGCTAAAATGACTTTATTATGTATAGCTAGAGTTTTAGGTTTCCATTAAAATAGTTTATATTGATAGGTACCTATTTTAATAAAAAGAACATACCATAAATAATTAAATTCCAAATTTTACTGTCTAAAATAAAACACCAAATATAACACATTATACAATATATACGTCATATTGTATTAACAGTAGATTAATGAAGTAACGAGATTTAAATCAAAATCAAATACCTAGCTATTTTTACAATAAAACAACCTATGAATTATTCAAATTTTTGGGTTTGGCCCGAATAAGTTATAAAAAGATTGGGTTTCACCTATAACTTATAAGAATTATATTTATCAAATGATTAAAATAAATATTGTTAACTTCTTTAGGGTTAATTGGTGTATTTCACCTTCACCAATATGGACACATTTTCATACACACTTCGACTTCCTATAATACTTATATTAAATGGTTCATAATAAATAAAATGCTTACCGAACTATTCTGATTAGTACAATAAGTATGCAATCTTTCACCCATTCTTGACTGTACAATTATTTGAGCTGATTTCATAGTCATAAGTTTGGTTAGCTGTTCCATTTCTTGCCTTTCTTTCTCGGCTGACTCAGTTAATGTGCGTGTATCCACCATTTTTATTTTATTACTTAAGGGTTGATGGAAAAAAAATTTAAAATTTAACCATGATCACTTATTTAACACCAATTTAATATAAAATTCACACATGGACAAACTGTAAATAACTTTGAACATCTTAAACGTCTTTGTCTTAAAACTATTATTTGCGTCACTGTTTTCTGCATCTTGTAATGATCTGAAACATTTAAAACTAATGTTAGTATATTTTAAAGTTGAAATCATATCACATGGTTATAAATTTAAACAGCTAGCAGAGGCATATTTCCATTTTTTTTTTCTTTTAAGATATTTTTGGCCCGAGAAATATAAATCTGTGACCCACACAAAGACCGGCCCACCAGGAAAGTTTCTGATTTCCGTAAATATGCTAATTTTTTACTATTGTACATTTTTTATAATGCTTACTTGCACAATCAGTGTTCTGTGTTACCTATATAAACACAATGCACTTAAACATAATTTTTAAAATAACCATAAACTCATTAGGGATCTGGCACAACCACAGTGTATTTTTAATCTTTTATAATTTAATTTAATTTTTGTTTGATATCATTGTATAGGTTACAACACTTAATAACTATATCGTCTATATCACAAAAACAGGGACAAAAACAGATTGAAAGAAGTACCTAGGTAATTGCTATGATAACGAATTTGTTTTTGTACACATATACATTATCAATTTACATATTATACATTTTATATGAAACACCTTTCGTTATTTCTTATTACCAACAAGTATGTTAGGTAGATATAATTTAAAAATAAATTATATTTATTGCAATATCTTTAGGAAGTATAAAAAGTTGATTGATTATAATTTAATAGTATTGACGTAACAGCCAAGTTCAAAGAGAAGTTAATTAACCTGAAAGATTTATCTTAAATAAAATACAAATAGGCAGGTAGGTGTATAAAATATTATAATTAGTATACATGTACAATGTAGGTATCTATTCTTAACAGGTAAACAACAACCATGTTTAGGTATGTCATACCAATATAATATAAGTAAACTGACGATGTTTATTTCATGATATTATTTTATACAAATAAAAATCTTTAAACCCTTAAGGCTGTTTTACAATTTTTTTTTAACGAGCAATTTAACTCTTTATTTGATAATTTTTTAATGATTTTAGAGGCAGACAAAAGGTTTATAATTATTCTGAACACTAAACTAAATGTTCAATTTATAAATATATTTATGTGAAAATTAGGTAGGTACCAACTAACTTATTTTATTTGACTAATCTGAATCAGTATAAATATATTAAAAATTATTGAATTGTATTCTAAAAGGTACCTACAAAATGTCGGGAATCATACATAATTAGGTTTTAATATAACATTTTTGTTATAGGTACAATTTGAATAACCTAATAACATTTGTAGATAAGTAGGTATACAGAGTGATTAATATTTCATGAACATTTGATTTATATAAAAGTACCTATGGTCTAGACTTATTTATTTTACCCTGGCAGTTTGACTTCTCTATTTATCTAATTGTAAATATCTACCTACTTCATTAAAACATAAATTTATCCTAAAAACGAGATTAAAAATGAGTCTAAAATACTATTTACTATCATACTATTAGTATTATCACCTATTCTAAGCTAACTACACTTAGAAGCGGAATATAACAAAAACCAATAGTATATACTTTTAAAATTATTCCCCAATTTAACTAGGTATACTCTGTTCCATCTAAAAGTGAACCACTCCGCTGACCAAAACACGTTTTTACAGCGCACCCTCACCACAATCTGGACATCGGTGAGAACGTAAGTACAGGTGCCCGACAACAGACGACGCAGCTATGATTGTCTGCCAATCACAGAACGCATAGCCATCACAAGGGGGGTCATGCACTGTTTGGAGGCTCAGTCTGCGTGTGCAAAAGCGGTTCACTCTTGGATGGAATAGAGTATAGTAAGTTCAATTCGGGGTTCAAATAGTTATTCTCCACTATCGGATTTGATATTAATAATCTCAGCACTGAAATGTCTATTTAAATTTTAAACAAATAGTTAACCACCTTCTAGTAAATTTGCTCGTCTTATCGCTACGATCGACATGAAACACTATATAACTATCAAAGCTGAGTTAAGCATAAAAAATATCTGAAAACCAGCAGATTTATATAAATACTCATAATTAAATACCAGATTTTATCTTAAAATATTTCATTTACTATGTAGACCTATTACATTTTGGTAATAAACTAATAACTAACTAATGATTTTTTCTTATCCGCTAACATTTTGTTGTAAATTTGACACTTATTAAATATTGTTATAGGTACCATTAGATATTTATTTTCCAATTAAAACGTAAACAAAGTCTACTATGACTGATGGGTATAAGTGCAAGTAATTAGTTTTTTGAATAGATGGTTGGAATTCTATTGTCATAGTTACCTAATGACTGCACTTAATGACTTAATGATGTATTTTAATAACAAATATGTATTAGTTAATTTTACATACAATTTCGCATAATATTGAAGCTTATATCTAGATGTAAAAAGATAATATTTGTTAGTAGCTAAAATTATTTTAAGTTTGATAGTTGTAGTGAGCACATATTATGATTTTCAGTGATTTTCTTTTTAAGTTTATCTAATATTAAATATTTAACTAGGTATTATTATAATACACATTTTTACGGGATTTTTATAATTAATAATACGTAATCCAGTAGTAGGCGTAGGGAAGTAAATAGCAGATATGGGAAAAGACTGGAAAAAGTTTGCAGTGCCCCTTCAGCACTGATGTTTATCATGGTCTAGTGATTTTAGTAATTCCCATTACCTAACTTAATTATGACTTTAAGTTTAAAAGAATAAATATTCAATTTATACGTACCAAACGCTATTGATAAGAATAATATTAGTAGAAAAAAAAACAGTCAACATTTTCAAAAACAACAATTTTATAGGAAGGTACACTATTCGTTCATCAAAACAAATGTAAATGCAATGAATGAATGTTAATGAATTTGTTCCTTCCAAACACTGGGTTATATAGCTACAATATGATGGCAGATCTTATCTTAGTTTCCTATCTTACATTTTCATAAAATATCATTCATAGGTAAATGGTAGTTCCCCCGGTAGTTGCTATTTACCTATTTTTATTAAAAATTAGAAAACGATTACTGTATTAGGTAGGTATATTTGTGGTATCTAAGTACTTATATTACTCTCCATTACATACAATTTACAACATTGTAGGTATGTATCAATCACATAGTAAACAGAGTAATAAACCTAACATTTACAAACTGCAAAACTTGTTCTATTTTATTTTTTGTGCTACCTACCTACTTATAAAAAATATTTTTTCTCTGAACTAGACTACTAGTCGGGCTACTAGTCGATAATTCCAGGAAAAAATGTTTATATTCTATTTATTTTCTCAAATTATAGTTTAATATCTCTATTAATATTGGTTAACGGTTTCAGTCAAACATTTAAACCGGCTAATCTACTCCCTTCAAAATATACCCGTTACCCATTCCTGTTTAATAGTGTTTACTACAAGTGTGTTGTTTCTGGATTTATATCAAAAAAAGAAGGTAGGTACCTAATTAAAACTTGTTGCTTAGTTTTTGTTCTAGGTACATATAAAATAAATAAGAGAATTAATGGTTCAAGAGTTTAGTTGAAACTAATAATAACATTAGAATTAACAATAAGACTGGTGTCATAAACAAAAATTAAACCATATAGGTATCTATATATTGAAATCAATTAAATAGTGTTAAAAGTACTACTTACTCAGAATTTTTTCTTTATTTTACAAGATTTGACTTTTTTCAGTTTACAGGCAAATTTATTTAAGTTTAATGCAAGTTAACATTTAGATATGAAACATAATTTTAAATGTATAGAATACCAGCATAAAATTATGTATTATGCATTCATACAAGGTCACAGCTGTGAAAATATGGTTACCTACCTATTTATATCATGAACAAGGTTATATACAGCTCGATATAGGTAGTTGTTAACTTAGTGATTAAATCACAATGGTTCACAATCGTTCTTTTAACTCAATTTCTGAAATGACTTGGAAATATATCTCATATACAGCTTGATATAGGTAGTTGTTAACTTGGTGATTAAATCACAATGTTTCCCAATCGTTCTTTTAACTTAATTTCTGAAAGGACTTGGAAATATATCTCATAGGTATAGGTCGGTATATTTAATTACCAAAATAGGTAGATACCTACAGTAAAAAATATATGAAAAATCCAAATATGTACCTACACCGACCTACACCTAAATTCTAGTCTTTTATTTTGATACTTTCTTCAAAATCTAATAAGTAAAATAATTGTTATTCACAATTTAAATTAGATTTTTTAGGGGTATCATATATAGGTAAAATCATGTTTAGTTTAGACCTCGGTTTAGACATATAGGTAATCCCTGAATTTTTTTTGTAACTAACTAACTAGGTATTATACAAAGTTATTTCTTCCAAATTACCATTGGTAGTTAGGTACATGTTTTTAGTTTTTTATTAGGTTAAGTTAGGTTAGGTTAGTTTTATATATTTTTATAAAAGGTAATACCTATATATTTTTAATAAGCATTAAAAGCAAGATTAAAAGTCATATATTAAATTACCATCAACATAATAGAGATATAGGTAGGTAGGTTGGTAGTTTAAGTACAACATTATAGGTACCTATACATAACAAATTATATCATGATAAGTACATGAACGACTCTGACTTTTAAATATTACCCATTTAGCAGGTAGGTATTATAGAAAACTTTAATAGGTACTATATAGATTACACCTACCTACCTAAATATCACAAGCTAATATCAGATTAAAAATAATGATTGGTAGGATCAAAGTAGGTATTGTATTGTCATTCAACAGAAGTATGTAAGCAGTCATGAAATCAGCTGTGCTGTATTATGTATAGATTTAAAAAAAATGCATCGAACACAACATGTTGTGCAATATAGCCTATAGGTACTATCCAATAGAATGCAGGCATTCTATATAGGCATTATATTTTATGCCAATGTACCTATTGTAAACATTATACAACTGTGATTTTAACTAAATTACAATATTAAAACC